CGAAAAGTAGCCTATGACACCCGCCCCGCCCCGAAGTCTAGGTGTGCCAGGTTTGGTCCGGATCGGTTCGGAAATGAATTTTTTTACGATCGGAAGAAGTACCCAGAGACGGACACATGCGGATAAATGACATTCAGCTTTTTATATAGATGATGATTTGCAAAAGATTTTGCTTGAATCTCGCTCGCTTTTATACATTCTTGCCCACTGCAATGCCTTAATTTTTGCAGATTCGGGTTTATCGTGAATGTTGATTTCTACTGCCTTCCATCTGTATTTACAAATCTATGTATTTTCGCTACATGAATTTACTTGGCTTTTATGTTCTAGACTGAATAATAAATCTGATTTTGACAGTGTTTTAAGTCGAAACCAAGTGGTGCGATCCCTTTCTATCTTTCTTGCTTTACAGCCGAATTTATCTTGATTTTGATATTATGAAGGGTTACAACTCGGAGTCGCTCCCCTGTCCAGATACGGAATGTTCAATACCGGGTAAGTTGTTTAGACCTGCAAAAGTTTTTGAAGTGAGGGAGTGCGCTTTTTCGAATTGGAAATCTCCTATACTTTTCTTCGAGTTACCCATAACACACTGTAGCGCCGAAAATGTTAGGGTCTTATCAATTTACGTACGATACCGCCGACATTCGTTCCTGGTATCTTTTGCTTTCGTGCCGGTTACTTTCTTATCACGGTTCACTAGGCTCTAGTTTTGTCCGCTGTCAACCGGTATTTCTTTCCGCAATGAATGACAAACCTGCAACTGGTCGCGGGTATGTTAAAAGCTGAAAAACGAGTGGATAACGCATAGTTTACAAATTCATCGGTTCAAAAAAATTGGATATTTAATGTTCAGCAAGTTCTTTGGCAAAACTGTCGTCATCACCGGAGCTTCACGAGGTATCGGAAAGGAAATAGCCCTGAAACTTGCTCAGGTAGATTACTTCTTTGTCCCCACCTGTATTTTTTTCCTTTCCAATTTTCTCCACTTTTTCCTTCATATTCCTCACATATTAAAACGAAACCTATTGGAAGCTGTTGCGGTCCCTATGTGAGTAGTTTGATTTTAGGATGGCGCTAATATTGTAGTCGCTGCAAAAACAACCACTGCTCATCCCAAGTTACCAGGAACAATTTACACAGCAGCTGAAGAAATCGAGAAGGTAGGTGTTAGAACTAATTTCTATAAAACTTCAAATTTGTAGGCTCAGTAGATCGTTAGTAAAATATCCTGAATTTTTGAAACAGTGGCGGTCGGTTAGTCACGCTTTCCAGGAAAATTTACGTTACTTTACAGAATTTTTGTGAGCTTCTGATTCAGAATTTCAAAATTAGTTCAGAACTTTCAGGATCACACAATTTTTTTTGCAAAGCTAATTCGAATATTTGAAAGTAAGAACTTTGAATTTTTAGATATAAAAATTGTGGAAATTATTCTCACTCTTTACTATGATAAAAAGGTTACTTGGATATTCTTAGCCCATGTAGGAGATTTTCAAGACACCCATTCTC